TTTAAATACACCTTTCTAATATATCACTAATGTGACATGTGAATCCGCTGTAAGTACAACTTAAGGACAAAGAGTGTTTGGAAGACAAGTACACAATCAAAATTGATTACTTTCTTCTTATCTGGACCCCCCACTATATTAAGTACTCCAGAACTAACTTTCATGTCTTTGTTTAATTCTAGGTGGTATGGGATGCAGGATAACTTTGTTACTTATGGAATAGTCTCAGGTGTATTCAACGGGTTATTTTCTCTTGGGTAGGTGTGTTACTTACCATCATTGACTCATTCATATCCATATTTGAACCAAGCAACTGTAAAATCTCCAAGATTTTCACAGTATTTCAAATGGTTAAAGGCTTCCTACTACATTCTCACTATCAATGTAATCCATTTTATTTTACAAACAGGAAGGGATGATATGATTTTATTTTAAACTCTTTATTTTTTATGAGACCTGATGAACCAAACCATTTATTTGTGAGTGGGTAGCAAAAATCAAGCACTTTTGAAATGGTGGATCTATACTATTAGAATGATGCTGATTTTTAAAACTACATACTGTATTTATGTAATCTATGAGTAGTTTAATTGTAGTATAGATAGTACCTGATAGTAGATAGATAGTAGCAAATACAGCATGGCATTTTTGCAACTTTCACATTCATGCTATGCATTTATGATGTTTGTGTCATTATCGAGGTCGATCACACATGCCTTGTGTCACATATTCATCTCAGCATACTTAGCCTAATGATTGTCCAGCTGATAGATTTCATATCTGAACCAGAGATTTTGATTATTTTTTAAAGGAATGATTCAATAAAAATACAATTACCATGATTGAGCTGGCCTATTTCTGTATTTTACAATCTAAATCTTTTCTATGGTAATATTAAGAATACCTAGCTGAGTTCTGTTTTCATTGATTGCACATTTTTTGTTTATGCAATTTGTTTACCTTATCTCTCCCCGTGTCTTTGTGCTTTTTCTTTGCCATGGGCTCAATCCCCCAAAATCATTCTGCCAACATGCAAAACAAATCATTCAACTTCCCAATTCAACATTTGAGTTCTTTGTTTCATGATCTTTCAAACAATGGTATTATGATAAATAATATTGTTTAGTAAAATTGCATTTTCTCAAAGCTTCAATTGAAGCTCACCATGAAAAAAATGTTACCAGACCATCAGGCATGCAATATTAATTGATATTAGCTCAACACACAAGTTATCCATCTATTCAACTCCCAGTGTGGTGTGCTAAAATATTTGATGGAAATAGTGAAAGTCACAGTGATAATGTGATAAAATCATTTGGCAACAGGAATGTGATTAATGCTCGAATTTGTGCGGCAGGTTTGATGAAAACCGTAGTGTAGGCACTTTCAATCCTGTGATTATATTACATCTAATCATAACAATAGAGGTGTATTTCCAAATTACAGATTACCATTCCACTTGCTATTTTAAAATTTTCTTAAAGAAATCTTATGACCCAGAAAAACAAAAATCTTGTATCAAATCATTATTGTAATGGTTAATTGGTCGTGGGCTCGGCCATGATGAGTTATTATAATTTAATGTATCATCTTCATGTTTCTTTCCATTGTAGAAGTTTTATTGGTCCCACAGTGGGTGGAGCTATGGAACAAGCATATGGTTTTAGTTGGGCAGCATCTGTAATGGCATTAATATATTTCACAGTTACAACTCTACTTATTATATTTTGTCTATGGGAATATCAATGTGGGAAAGGGTAAGTATGAGCTAATGACAGGAAGACTTCTGCACTATCTTCATCCATTATTAACCTACTGTATATCTGTGTTTCCTTATCTACGATCTTTGAAAATGAGTCATATAAATAAAATGACTATTAAACAATATATAGTTTTTTTTTAATTTTAGTCAATGACGGATTTTATAGGTTGGAATGAATTGGAATATGAAAATAACAAGATACATATCAATATTATATTTTTTGTCATGGTTAACCCTTATTGACTTGATTGTTCCCGCCCCAATACATTTTGCATAATTTTATTTTTCTATAGGTTTTCCCAATGATTGAGGGACAATTCTATTCATGTCAAATATTTCATTTTTCTTTCTTTCTCTTTTTCAGAAGAAGAATCGCTACACATAGAGAAAATGTGATAGTTGTACCTCCAGATTTGACAAACGACATAAATTCGCCATTGCTAAATCCTTAGATATCAAGAGAAGTGAATACATAAATAAATAATTTCACAAAACGAACCTTTGTCAGAATTATCTGTGAACAGATCCCCTGGGCCTGTTTTGTGTCCTGCTCCTTCATATCTCAAATACATTTAAATTTCAACAAAATGAAGTGTTTGCAAATACAGTGTATTTATTTTTGGGCAGTTGTGTTTGTAAACTTATTAGTTCAAGCATGCCACGAGTTTCGAAGTCTCCTGGAGGCAGCTCGTACATACTGGCGAAAGGGTGGACCCGTTACTGGTTGAGGTAACCCCCGAGGTATCCCCTAATACCAGTAGCTTGACAGTTTCACCAGAGCGCGCCGTCCCTTTCCAATCGCTCGCATTCCAATGGCAGCTTTTCTATTTCTTTCTTTCTTTCGGGATGACTGGAAGCTAGGCTGGCTCAGTTTCGATCGAATACAATCTCCTTGCGTGCAAAGAAATTCAAACTGACTGCCTAGACCGTGACGCCTGCGCTCCACTATTGAGATATTGCCTACTTTGCAAAATTGACAAATC